AATGAAAGTAACATATTCGTTGAAATTTTCAGTCGAATACCTTACCGTTGAATTTTTCATTGCAGTATAACAAAATTTTTGTAGTCCTCTCAAACATTATTTTTTACGTAGTATATATTGAGTAATTGTGTTTACAATTTTTCTATTAATAATATATTAAACACGTGAACTTTTAGTTCCTATAATATTTTTCTCAGAAATCACTCATTATTTTATCTCAAGATTACCTATTAATTTATCAATTGAGTTACATTTCTTACATATTAAATATTATATAATTAAAATATTTCTTGTTTTATCTGTTCAATATCATACTAAAATATTATATTAAAAAAACTATTATAGTAAATAAAAAAAGTTATTTAAAATTAGAATAATAATTTTTTTTTGTAATCTATATGTATAAATGTATAAATAACTATTGTCTATCACCTCAAATTTACACATAAATTAATAAGAACAAAAAACTAACAAGCGTTTAACAATTCAGTTCGATTACATCGATAAGTTATTTTTAAAAGGTTTATATTTAGTTATATTAATTATATTATTTTTTTATTAGTTTGTTTTATATTTATTAGTACGTGTCACAACTTAGTTATTATTCATATTATTTTTTATATTTAATATATTTCAAAACTTTATCTTGTTCTTTCACATGTTCTTAACTGTAGATTTGTCAAAAAAGACATAATATAAAGAATAGAATTTTTACGATCATCTGTCTCATTATATATCAAATATTTGTATATTCTATATTATATTATATTTAATTACAATTTTTTTATTAATATTTTAATTAAATATTTACAATTCATAAATTCATTAATAATATTGTCGAGTCAACTTTTGTTTATAAAATTTTTAAAAATATATTATTTTCATTGATTTGCTTATGTTGAATTGAGAAAATATATGTTTTTTAATTACATATAGGGAAGATATAAGATTTCTTATATTTTTTATGTAGTATTTATTGAGTAATTGTGTTTTACAATTTTTCTATTAAAAATATTTTAAAATCGTGAACTTTTTAGTTCCTATAATTTTTTTCTTTCAGAAATCACTCATTATTTTATCCCAAGATTACCTATTAATTTACCAATTGAGTTACATTTCTTACATATTAAATATTATATAATTAAAATATTTCTTGTTTTATCTGTTCAATATGATACTTATATATTATATTAAGAAAACTATTATAGTAAATAAAAAAGTTCTTTAAAATTAGAATAATAAAGATTTTTTTTTTCTAATCTACATGTATAAATGTACAAATAACTATTGTCTATCACCTCAAATTTACACATAAAATTAATAAGAACAAAAAACTAACAAGCGTTTAACAATTCAGTTCGATTACATCGGTAAGTTATTTTTAGAAAGTTTATATTTAGTTATATTAATTAAATTATTTTTGTTTATTAATTTGTTTTATATTTATTACTATGTGTCACAACTTAGTTATTATTCATATTATTTCTTATATTTAATATTTTTTTAAAACT